AAAGGACCTCTTCAAGGAGAACTACAAACCACTGCTCAGTGAAATAAAAAAGGACACAAACAAATGGAAGAACATATCATGCTCATGGATAGGAAAAATCAATATTGTGAAAATGGCCATACTGCCCAAGGTAATTTATAGATTCAATGCCAACCCCATCAAGCTACCAATGACTTTCTTCATAGAATTGGAAAAAACTGCTTTAAAGTTCATATGGAACCAAAAGAGAGCCCACATTGCCAAGATACTCCTAAGCCAAAAGAACAAAGCTGGAGGCATCAAGCTACCTGACTTCAAACTTTACTACACGGCTACAGTAACCAAAACAGCTGGTTTGGTACAATACCAAAATAGAGATACAGACCAATGGAAGAGAACAGAGCCCTCAGAAATAGTACCACACATCTACAACCATCTGATCTTTGACAAACCTGACAAAAACAAGAAATGGGGAAAGGATTCCCTATTTAATAAATGGTGCTGGGAAAATTGGCTAGCCATAAGTAGAAAGCTGAAACTGGATCCTTTCCTTACTCCTTATACAAAAATAATTCAAGATGGATTAGAGACTTAAATGTTAGACCTAAAACCATAAAAACCCTAGAAGAAAACCTAGGGAATACCATTCAGGATATCGGCACGGGCAAGTACTTCAAGTCTAAAGCACCAAAAGCAATGGCAACAAAAGCTAAAATCTACAAATGGGATCTAATTAAACTAAAGAGCTTCTTCACAGCAAAAGAAACTGCCATCACAGTGAAGAGGCAACCTACAGAATGGGAGAAAATATTTTCAATCTACTCATCTGTCAAAGGGCTAACATTCAGAACCTATAAAGAACTCAATCAAATTTATAAGAAAAAAACAAACAACCCCATCAAAAAATGGGCAAAGGATATGAACAGACACTTCTCAAAAGAAAACATTCTTTTGCTGTGCAGAAGCTCTTTAGTTTAATTAGATCCCATTTGTCAATTTTGGCTTTTGCTGCCGTTGCTTTTGGTGTTTTAGACATGAAGTCTTTGCCCATGCCTATGTCCTGAATGGTACTACCTAGGTTTTCCTCTAGGGTTTTTATGGTATTAGGTCTAACATTTAAGTCTCTAATCCATCTTGAATTAATTTTCGTATAAGGAGTAAGGAAAGGATCCAGTTTCAGCTTTCTACATATGGCTAGCCAATTTTCCCAGCACCCGGGAGCGGGGAGGGATTGCATTGGGAGTTATACCTGATGTAAATGACGAGTTGATGGGTGCTGACGAGTTGATGGGTGCAGCACAGCAACATGGCACAAGTATACATATGTAACAAAGCTGCACGTTATGCACATGTATCCTAGAACTTAAAGTATAATAATAATAATAAGAAGAAGAAAACATACAGCCAACAGACACATGAAAAAAATGCTCATCATCACTCGCCATCAGAGAAATGCAAATCAAAACCACAATGAGATACAATCTCACACCAATTAGAATGGCAATCACTAAAAAATCAGGAAACAACAGGTGCTGGAGAGGTTGTAGAGAAATAGGAACTTTTACGCTGTTGGTGGTACTGTAAACTAGTTCAACCATTGTGGAAAACAGTGTGGCAATTCCTCAGGGATCTAGAACTAGAAATAACATTTGACCCAGCCATCCCATTACTGGGGATATACCCAAAGGATTATAAGTCATGCTACTATAAAGACACATGCACACATATGCTTATTGCGGCACTATTCACAATAGCAAAGACTTGGAATAAACACAAATGTCCATCAGTGACAGACTGGATTAAGAAAATATGGCACATATACACCATGGAATAATATGCAGCCATAAAAAAGGATGAGTTTGTGCCCTTTGTAGGGATATGGATGCAGCTGGAAACCATCATTCTCAGCAAACTATCACAAGAACAGAAAACCAAATACCGCATGTTCTCACTCATAGGTGGGAATTGAACAATGAGATCACTTGGACACAGGAAGGGGAACATCACACACTGGTTCCTATTGTGGGAAGGGGGTCGGGGAGAGGGATAGCATTAGGAGATATACCTAATGTAAATGATGAGTTAATGGGTGCAGCACACCATCATGGCACATGTATATATATGTAACAAACCTGCACGTTGTGCACATGTATCCTAGAACTGAAAGTATAATTAAAAAAAAGAAAGAAATGCAAATTTACACTACAGTGCTATAACATTTCATAGCCACTCAATTTGTAAATATTAAAATGTGACATCACCAATCATTAACAACATGTAAACAAAGAAGGAACTGTTGATATAAATGTATATTAGAATAAACACTGTAGGAAACCTTCTAAGAGTAGAATATGCACGATATCCCAGAATACCCATTTGTACTTACATATACTAGAGAAAGTCAAATAGCTTTACTGTAAAAATGTCATATCACTGCTTGAATATATGAATTTTTGGCTATCACTATATTTACTTTCTATTTTAAAATAAAATTGTATAATTACTTTGAGTCAAATGATTGATTCCAATGTAAATATTAATATTGATATAGGAGTTAAGAAAAAATTGTTTAGGCAGATAATGCGGGTACAGTTGTCAATGGTAAGATTTTTCCTTCTAATGAAAAGCAGCCCCCAAATCCTTTTCTTTCTAATAAGAAGAGCCTATAAAATTGAACTGCAAACATAGACAAGCAAGCTGGAAGCTTGCAAGGTGAATGCCAGCAGTTGTGCCAATAGGAAAAGGCTACCTGGGACTAGGCATGTTCATATGGCAGCTGCATCTTTCCTTCTCTTTGCCAGCCATGTGTACAGTAAGGAGAAGGCAACACGACGCTGGCCACGCAAAGACCCCATTTGCTTTATAACATTAGGGTGTGGCGGCCAACTTCCCGGCATATTATGTAAATATCACTCCTGGTCTAACCAATCTTTGGGCCCTATTTAAATCAGACACTGTTTCCTCAAGGCTGTTTATAAAATCCAGTGCACCCCACCAGGGGCAGGGATTCACTTTCAGGTGCCGTTCTCTCTCACGAGAGAGGAAGCTGTCCTTTCTCTTTCTTTTGCCTATTAAACCTGTGCCCCTAAACGCAATCCGTGTGTGTGTCCATGCCCTTAATCTTCTTGGTGTGAGATAATGAACCTCGGGTATTTACCCAGACAGTGATGCCACTTCATTATGACTTAATTTAACCAACAAGTATTGCGTTCAAATTATTTTACTGTATTCTTGACTAATGCCCATTAATAGGATAATTTATTTTACTATGTACTTATCAAGAAATTTGTATATTTATTTATACACAATTGAAAAACCAAAAATGAAATAGGTCTGCTGGCAAAACAAGTTGACATAAACATTTTGCCACAGTTAATATAGATGAGTATTAGAATGTCATCTCTGTTATTTAGAAAGACATGAACATGCTGGGATCTCAGAGCAGTGTACTTACTGACACGGATGCATCTGGGAGTAAGAGACCAGCCATTCTCTGTACATGTAACTGTAGTCTGCTCTTTTGGAAGACTGTAGCCAGGATGGCAGGCAACTTCTATAGCGTTACCCTGTACAAACTTTCTTCCATTATTTTCATTATATCCATTTGCCAAATAAGGAAAGTAACATTTTCCTGAGGACCATAACAATGATAAATAAATAAAGTAAAGGAGAAGCATAAATTTGCTCAAAATAGTATATGAAAATTATTTTTACAATATTTAAATAAGATTGCATAAACATCCAAAAATAATGTATAACTGAAGACGAACTGAAGTGACTAGCAAAGATTTGTACAAAAAGAAATATCAATATTCAATATTACTTATCTTTAGTTTTTGTAATTAAAAGATGTATAAATTACATAGATATTCTCATCAAGTCCCTATATTTATTTCTCCTGTGACTTTCAAGAAGAAATCCTCATAATAGGAAAGAACTATTTTGGTCATTTTGCTTGAACAACTCTTTTCTTGGCCCTATTTCTGTTACATAAGACAAGTGTAATCACTTAAGTGCCCTCCTCTCTTCGATCTTTGAAAGTTTTATACATGTATAGCAGTTCAGAGGTTTACTTACTGAGGCATGGTATTGCTGGTGACCACCCATCTTGTGTGCAATGAATGTAATCCCAGTAACTTCCTGAAGGAGTCTCAAAAGAGTCATCACAGTGATAGGAGTAATATTTTCCTACAGGTACTGGAAAGTATGGTCTACGCATGCTCTCATAATATAGTCCTCCATGTTTAATGTCTGGATAATCACAAGGTCTCACTTGCAACAAAAATTAAAGAAAGTATAAAGAAGTTTTACTGTAACAAATAATCATATTAGAGATAAATTTTTATCACTGAATTATATTCTCTTCTTAGTATAATTACACATTCCATTAGGGTTTCTAGGTCAAAACAAATGACAGAGCTGATGACTGAGATATGTGACAAGAAGGTCTTTGTTAATGAAGATGAAATTATGTCTGTGGATCATATGATGCGTAAATTTGTATGAAGGCTCTCCAGAAAGAAAAATGTACAGACCTATTTAATGTATTTCCCTTTAATACACATACCTTATCTCTGGCTAATTAAACAAGGTTTTCGATGGAGAAATATGTCAGTGTTACTGCTTAGCTCATGTATTTCTTTTTTTTTTTTTCTATTCTCTTCAGTAAACAAGAGCCCTGCATTTTCTTCTCAGAACAACTCAATGTAAGGAGGTAGTATTTTGAGGGATTTAAGGTTTTTATTTGTTTTAGATTGAATTCATGGGCTGGGCGGAGTGACTCACACCTGTGATCCCAGCAGTTTGGAAGGCTCAAACAGGCAGATCTCTTGAGGTAAGGAGTTTGAGACCAGTCGGGCCAACATGATGAAACCCTGTCTCTACTAAAAATGCAAAAAAAAAATTAGCCCAGTCTGGTGGTGCACCCCTGTAATTCCAGCTACTTAGAAGGCAGAGGCAGGAGAATCGCTTGAACTCAGGAGGCAGAGGTTGTAGTGAATCGAGATTGTGTCATTGCACTCCAGCATGGGTTACAGAGTGAGACTCCATCTCGAAAAATCTAAATAAATAAATAAATAAGACGCTTTCCTATTTATTTAAGACAATGTAAAAATATACAGAAACACAAAAATTTTTCTTTGATGATGCCACACAGAAAAATAACAGTTAATTCATGCCTCAAACAATTCATTGAGCCAAATTCTCCAGTCTTTATTTAACCAGAGAAACAGACTAGAAATATTTCTTCATATCCAAATAGTTAAGATTTTGATGAACATTTTTTGTTTATTCCCAATTTTAATTGGACAGCAAAATAATTTTAATGTCATAAACTATGTTTAAATAAGGTACAATATAATTACATTTTACCGAGTTACTATATATTTATTTTGACAAATACATTTGAGTGCTATCTTGCTTATCATATTAACAGGTTTATATATTTTCCAGAAAATTTGCTCTTTTCATGAGATTATTTACGACCATCTAGCACTTTCAATAACAAAATGGTATTAATGTTTTCCATGAAAGTTGATTCAGTTTTAATAAACCTTATGAAATAGGTTAAAAAGAATTTCAATACACACATACACACACACACACACTCATGTAAATATTCTTTTTCATCTCCCTCTTTCTTAAATTCAGTGATTTATTTTCTTTGGTATTTGATTAGAGAAATTTTCATGTAGTTTCTACAAATATTTATTATGTGGATTATAAACTGAATAATTGTATATCCTAAGTGTCTTTCTCTAACAAAGACTAGTGAATGATACTTCTTTCAGTATAGTTTCTTGGCCTGCAATCCACATATCTTGTAATTGATAGATTTTTTTCCCTATTTATTGGAAGCTCCCAGTGTTGAAATTAAAACATTTACTTAGTCTTATCTCTTTTAAGTAACATTCTACATTTTTCCCCATCACTTTTTAAAGATTTGGAATGGTTTCTATTTACTATTGGACTTTGCTTAACAATAATTCTGCATTGGGAAAGCTTGAGTCTTAGATTTGCAGGAACTGTGTCTTAAAGATTTCAATTGAATTTCACATTACATGGTGGTTGATTTCAAAACAAGTATGAGTATCCATCTTATTACGGGTTTTCCCAGAATGTCATAAAATAAAATTGTCCACTGAGATTTCTTTCCAAAAGGAATAAAAAGGAGGTATAATTAAAAACGTATGTCATTATCACAGGCTCGAGCTATTTAGCTATTCTCTAAATTTGTCACATTTACATCTGTTTTTATCCATTTTACAAATTGATTCCTTGAAGCAAATATTAGTACCCACAGAGGGTCTCATCAGGGCTGAGAATAGAAGGACTTCAAATAGCCTCATTTCACTTGTTACCCTTCTGCAAATGTAGTTTTTGGTTTCACAGCATTTATGGTGCTTCCATCATAAAGTTGGCTCAGACAGATCTTGAAATTGATAAAAATATTCACTAATTTTTATAACTACTGCTAATATATTAATACTGTAATTTATTTGACCCAGGCCCAGGATCTTAGAATCAACATTGTTAAATTTTATCTTATTAGATTCAGCTTAGAACATAAGATTCTCTTTGAATGCTGAATCTGCCCTATTGCAGATTCATTATCATCGTCTGTATCATTCCAATTTTTAATTTGTACTGCCCTTCCCCTAAATCATTAAAGTGTTCAATGACACAGTGAGTAATGAAGCAGGCCTGAGAATAAAGTCTTGCATCTGATAATTAGACATGGTTTATTTAATGAAATTACAAACGGAATTTATTAATAAGGGTAACATACATTCATACACACACATACACATTTAATTTTGAGTAGTGAAAAAATTGAGTTTTGGCAACTTCGAAAACTAAAGAATACTTCCAACAACCTTACTTTATATACACAATAAGACAAATATTTAGTTTTATTGAGTCCCCGTTTTTATGCATTTAAAAGAAATTTCAGAATTAAGAAATGGGTCAAGATATGAATGGAACTTACAAGTACATCTTGGAGCAGGTATCCAGCCAGTGCTTGTGCATTTTGCTGTATTTCCCCAGGTTGCAGGATAAAAACCATTTATACACTGGTACCTGATTTCATCTCCAGTTCTGTGTTTAATCCTTAAAGGTGAGTAGACACCATTTGGAATGTAAGGCACATTACATGTTTTTTCTGAAAAGAAAATGGATGTGTGGATAATGTAGAAATATCCATTAAAATTCATCATTTATACAAACATTTAAAAGTAGGTGTTATTTATTTGTCCTTAGCATAATACAAAATGGCATTAAAATGAACATATCATAGTATCCTTTCTGGTATGTCACTTATTTTTTCCTTCACTATATTGTCATCTGACATATTTGTACCTCCTGGGCTCTTAATCCCTTCTTCTCCAAAGTCATTCCATACTTCATGACTTTCCATAACTGGCAATGATCTCATCACATATAACTTCAATTCTTACTTTCATTTTCCTTCTATTCTTTGGTTTCTGTGGTTCTCATAAGGATTGTTTACAAATATTCAGGATTTCTTTTTTTTGGACAATTGATAGGACTGCACAACCCTTTCTCTTTGAAGTAACTGTGGCCATGTGATTGCATAAGAGACTATAATAAAAGTGGAAGTAGTATCTTTCACTTTAGAGAGAAGTTTTAAAAGCCATTGTGTGAATTTTTATTTTCTCTTTCCCAATGACACCGTGAGTAAAGAAGGACATGAAAAAAATGGTGTTTCTGTCACCTGATTCTTACAATTAATACAATGAGTAAAGTCCCTTCTGATCTACATTGAAAGTGAACATGAATGGAAATAAACTTTAGCCTTAATATCTTAAACATTGAGATATTGCATTACATTTTTCTTACTATAATAGGATAAAATAGCAGAGGGTTTGGAAAACCTTTTCTGTAAAGGGCCAGATAAAAGGTCTCTGTTGCAACAACTCAACTCTGCCATTACAGTACAAAAGTAGTGATAGACAATACATAAACAAATGAACATGGCAGTGTTTCAATAAAACTTTGTTTACACAAAGGGGGCAAGTTGTATTTTACCTGCAGTCTATAGTTTGCCATCCTTTGGCCCAGTGTGTCCTAATCTATAAAGCATCTTCTCATTCCTTTCCATTAACTCTGCTATATCTCAATATTGGATCCATTTGCAATATTCCTTTTAAAATAAAATACTATGCATTTTAAGTATTGTAGAAAAGCCATATGACCACTTATATTGGAGTAATATTTTATTTTGGACTAAAAAGCTGTGGTGGACATTCAGCATTGCTTGAAATCAATTTATATACCCCCAATTTATTTACTATTTGATTTCCCACAGTAAATGATCCATAGTCTCCTCACTTTTCTCAAGTCACCTGAAACAATTGCCTCTTCATCAACAGATAATAAGTCTCCATTCACACAAAACAATTGAGACCACCAGTAGTGAGCTCCCTATACTTCTTTCCAGCATTCCTCAACATTATCTGTATCTATACTGATTTAAGTATTTTGTTTAGTCTTCAGTGGTAAGGTGTTGCTTTCAAATTCAGGTTAGCTTTAATTCTTTCATTTTCCCCTGTATTTAAACCATAGTTTATTCCTTTCTTCTTTCTTACCTTATCAACCATGCTCTTAAATCGATATGGAAGCTTTTGCAGTTTAAATCCCTTCTCTCAACACTTTGTTCAAATTTAGCTAATGTACTACATTTCCCCACCCCTTCAAAACCAAAATCCTTAAAATACCATTTTGTAATTGCTATCTCCGCTTTCCAGTCTCACATTTATTCTTCAACTCACTACTGCCTAGTTTCTGACACCTCTCTTTTGTTGTCATTGCTCTGATAAAAGCTACCAATGAGCTCCAATGTCCAAATTCAGAAATGCTTTGCATTTCACATATTCTAGTCACCGGTACATACTATGGGCTTCCTAATTATTTATTGAACTGAACAGATAAAACTCTGTAATATTTGACTCTGTTGATTATGGACTTTTTGGTGTTCTCCATTACCTCATATATTTATGTTCTCCTGCTTCTCCTTGTCTTTGTCTAAGTGATGCTTTTCTTTTATATTTTATTATTTTCCTTTACTTTGTATTTTTTGCTTCTCGTCTTCTACTTTACTTAATTTTTAGGCCCTGCCTACTTGTCACATCTCATCTCCTGCCATTTTCCTACTTCTTCTCTATACTACCACCGTTCCTTTCTTATAACTTGTATATTTAGTTAAACATAAAATTTTATAAAGTTTTAATTATTCATTAAATATTTCCTCTTCTCAATACCATACTTCCACTGTGTCCATTCAGCTCCTAAGTTGATACTTCATTCTGACAGAATAAACTTTAATATATCTCTATAGCTAACAGGATAATATATCTAGATTAGCAATAATAATATGAGAAATAATATGTATGTGACTTAGTATACAAGTTTTAAAGTTTTACTATTTTAAAATTTTACTATTTTATGTAAAATGTCTTCAGTGTTTGATGTTGACACTAACTTCAGATAAGTCTTAAATGTATTCCTTTTTTCTTTTTTTCTGTCACTTCATTCTTCTCTATCATATTTTCATATACTCATTAAAGTTCAGTTTATGTATCTTCAATTATTTTTCCTTATGATATAGCTCAATTTAATACCAATTTTTGAAGTCAAAAGCTATGAGATACAAAAAAACAAGAGTTTAACTAAGAAATCAATAAAATAATATGGAACAATTTTTTTAAGAATAGAAGGACTTCTGGTGATTATGCTCGAGCAGTAGACATAAATCCTGTGATAAACCTTAATTTCGTATACTCACAATCATTTTTAAAATAAATCATGTTATTAAAACATTGTTCAAACCTGTACCTTTATCCAAAATAATATTTGAGATTATCCATATTTTCCTACTATTGGAAATAAGCATTAGTCATTTGAAGTTAGAATACTAATTCAAGGTTAGCACTCTGTGTTTTGAACCAATAGAAAATCCAATCTGTACAGGGAAGAAATAGATTTGGATCAAAGATAGCTTTAATTTAACAGTTCTTGGTACCTTTGATTGTTTCTGTAAATAACTTTCTGTTACAGATTGTTCCTATTGGACACAGAGACCAAAGTTTTGACAATTCAATCAGTCCTCTTACATGTATGTGCCATAGACCAGATTGAAGAAAATTTAAGTATTTAAAATTTAAGTAAATTATTTTACTTTAATGTTATCTTATTATTTAGTTCCAAACTTCTTATAGATTTAGAAGCAACAAAGAGAGTTTGAAGTTACCTGATTTCAGAGAAAATGATGTGTATAGATTTTGAATTCATCTTATATCAGAAAGTAGATCTTTGCTTTGTACCAAGAAAACAGTCATATTTATGCTATATTGGCATACAAAGAGTGGAATTCTTTTATTAAGAAAGACTTCTCTATATCTAATCAGTGTAAAATATATTTCAATAAAATAAAACATGGTGAGAGAGTGTATGCTTAACTAACGTGGGATGAATTTTCCTTTATTTATATTGATTATTAGTGAACTGTCTTCTGAAAAGGAGTACTCAATCTCAGTGCCTTCTCTTGGTATCTCTTTTACTAAAGAAAGCAGGACCCTCAAGCACAGCCTTGAATATTCAGGTTTTACTTGTATTTGTGACTGAGAAATGGAAAAAAATATATAAAAGAAAAATGCTTTATAAATATAGAGTCTTTGGTGTGTGTGTGTGTGTGTGTATGTGTGTGTGTGTGAATCAATCAGTGTTCAAGAGAAGCAAGAATAGAAATGCAGTAACACATTTGGGAAAAACAGATGAATTTCTCATTGTGAAAACAAATATGTGCTAAGGAAGACTTTTAAGTAGGTAGCAAAGTGAACAAGTAAAAGAGGTGAAATAATCAGATGACTACAAGGAGGTAGTCATGCTACAGAGTTACATGTTCAAATAAAACTAAATTCCCAGAGTCTTATTTTGAATTCATTGAAAGCTGAAATGGTGGTTTATTGTAATGTTTATCTTCAATACACAGCAAGGCTCTGATGTTAAATAAGTGGTTTATAAGTTACATTTTGATTACTGGATGGATAAATTAGATAAATTCACTGTAGATTTGAGAGGGGTTCTGGAAGTAATATACTTCAGGTAGAAGTTAATGTCAAAGGACTTGTGCATGCACTTCCTTTGCTTAGGAACTATGAATGCCATGAAGACAAATAGTTGGACCCCACACACCATTAGCCAAACATGGATTTGATGTGGGTTATTACTGTCCCGTGTTCTTTTTTTTTTTTAAATATGTTCTTAACAGTGCCTAAAAGTAGAGATCACGCAATTGTGAAGAAAAATATGTTTTCCAAGGAGACACTTGTGAGCTCAAACCAAAATTTTTTAGTGTATAAAATTAACCCAAAATTAACTATTCTTTTTATAAAAGAGGATTACTAAAGCACAGTTTAAACATGTATTTATGAATCACGGGATTTAAAGTTCAGAGGGCTCTTAAGAGTTCAACTCTTCTTTCTCTCACAGTATGGCAGTATCACCCGTTTAGATTTCTGGACCATATGTGGTAACACTGTTCCTCGTTTCACTCATTGTAGGAGTACTCATCAAAAGCAAACCCACTCATTTTATAAATGTTTGAAAATACCTCAAAACAGTTATCACCACACTATAGCTATAGCTTCTTACTGTACTTCTTATGGCATAATTTCTTAAAGTCCGCCACTGTCTGTATTCTCTCTTCTTGGCCATGATAGTTTGAAACTTTCCCTTTTAAAATGAAGTGGGTTAAGTAGAACACTCTATTCCAGATATACTTTTTGGTGGGTAAAGAGCACAGTTGAAATGAACTCTTTGGCTCTGTATAACATCCCTCCATAACGAAACTTAAGAGAGTTTGGGGTTTGTTTTTTTTTTTTTGGTTTTTCCATTTTCCAGCACCATTATCACTGTTGAGTCATACTGAGCCTGTTGTTAACCAAAATATTCATTTCCTTCCACTTAATTCCATTGTCAGTTGAGAGTTTCCTCACCTGTTAGTAATACAAGTTACTTTTAAAGTATTTTAAAATATTAATATAATTTAAATAAATTCTGGGCATTAGTAGAGCAATCTACTTGTTTGAGAGTTGTATGTTACTGAGCATTAGGAAGTCTATTATTGTCCTGGCTCTACTCCAGACATGGTTTTTGATGATAAATCAATGACTTAATAAGCTACTGAACTTTTCTGGCCCTGTTTATGTCTGTTTTCAGAGTGTGTGTATCGTATGAAGTGTTCTCAAAATGAACCTTGAACACAGAAAATTCTATGTATTTTTAATAATAGTTTATTTACATAAATTAGCACTTTATTTTTGATTAAAATAAGTGGCTTTATTAAAAGAATTAATTAAAATATGTGATAAATTTGTATAGATCCAGAAAATAAATGTAACATTACCTTCACAAGAAGGCAACGGATGCCATCCAGATTCAGTGCATACAGAATCTCCTCTTTCACTGTATTCATAGCCCATGTTACATTTATATTGAAATCGTTCATTCTCCTTATAAATAATCTTCTGAGATATAGGAGATCCATGTATAACATCTGGGGATTTGCATGAAATTTCTAAATAGAAGGGATTAAATTCCAAAATGTTTATTGCAAATTAAAGGACTGTGACCAGGACATAATTATATGAAAACAGAAATGTTTCCATCAGGTAAATCAGTCAACCAAACAGAAGTTCTGTTTTGACTTGACCACTTAATAAATGATTTATCTGAAGAAAGTTAAAATTCTGATTAAAATTATTCTTCTAATTTTATTTAGTTTCAGGACAAATTAGCCTTCTTGAAATAAATAGTGACCAGTAACATTCATCAAGTGTATATATAAAATTGACCATAAATACAGTTTTATTGTGATGTTTTCACTGAATGACCTGCAAAAAATAACACATCTTCAAATTATTGGTAAGACAGCAATTATCAACAGGACTCTTTGTCAAAGACATTGATTTAACTCAGTGTCATTATACCTCTGAAAAGTAACTGACCTGTTTTTGTGTCATCACTATTTAGCCAAGATTTCCTCAGGAAAAAAAAAAAAAAGGCCATCATCTTTTATACCCACTTGTCTCAAACATTTTTACCTTGGATTATGCCAATCATTAGTTTCCCAAACTCTGTTCTCCCACTTTCTAATCCATTTTCCTTGTGTGTAGCTTAATGACCTCTCAAGTAGACACATCGTAACTCCACTCGAAATCCTTCATTGATTCCCAATTCAGTCTGAATAAAAGGCGTGTTCTTCAGCATGATGCATGCAGCACTCTGTATTGGCCCACCTTCTATTTATCACTGACTCACTCCCTACTTGCATTCTACACTAAGGTGCCTAGGAACAATGGACAAGAATCAGTGGTGCTTCATGCTCCTTAAAACCTTACTGCCCTTCCACTTCCCTTTCCCTGAACTCTGGTATGCTTTTGCTCTCATTTTCATCTGCCAAATCTCATTTTTTTCTTTAAGACTTAATCGTAGGCATCAGCCATTCCAGGAAGGTTTCACTAACCACAAGAATCTAGTTGTAAGGATGTAAATTCCATACATGTACTTCTAAAGTACATGATATTTGCTATGCTAAATAAAAATATTAGTTTTTAACATAAAGAACTATTGTTGTTAGAAAGAGTTCTTAAGAAGGAAATTCTTTTCTCTGTATCTAACTATAAGATAGAAAAGACTTTAAAAGTAAAAATAATTTAGAGATTTTAGATAATATTGAAATATAAATATAACAGAAACTTCTGCCAAACATTTATTGGTAAAATGAACTTGCACTATGGTACTACTAAACAAATCAACCACGATTTTTACCACAGCAGCCAAAATCATTGATTGGTCATGATGCACAAGTTGGCAGTAGTATGACTAAAAATATTCTGGCTTACGGTTTACTATAAAACTTCTTTTAAGAGGCAATGATTTATTTAGTGGATTCTGTTCATTTCAGCAACATTTATAGCAAACTTGCAGTACAAATATAAAACAGGTCTGCTTTCCAGAAGTGTTATTCAAAAATGAATGTCATTTTAATGTATCTCTGGAAATACATAATGAATCTATGGCTTTCAAAATTAAAAACAAATGTCTATTCCAGAGGTCTTACAACTTGCAGCAAAAATGCTTAGCATTCTCTTTCAGCCTAAGAGGCAACTACAATGGAGCTATGGTTAAAGCATGGACTCTGGTGTCAGATAACCTACATTTAAATCCTAACTTGACTCTTTATGCCATGATAATCCAGGGCATGTATTTAACTTCTCTGCACCAGTCTCCTCAATTATAAAATAAAAGTGATGAGTAAGTAAATCATGGAATTTTTTTGAAAGGTAAAATGAAATGATGCATGCGAAGAACTTAGCTCAATTACAGGCAGATAGTAGGTGCTCAATAAACATTAGCTATTGTTAATATTGCTGATACTCCTTAGAATGAACGATGTTTCAATGTATATTCACATTTGAAAAGCTAAAAATACTAAAAGAGTAAGTGTATCTTACCCACACACTTTGGTTTCTCTTTACTCCAAACACCATCTTCTGAACAATGCATTTCGTTATCTCCTTCAATCTTGTAGCCTGAGTTACATGCAAACCGTACTACTTGTCCAAAATAGTATTCCCGATCTGGTTCCATTGCACCACTGATAATTTTTCCATTCTCTGGTGGTTTCACTGGTAAACACTTCACAACTGAAGAAAATACATACAATGTTTTCTAACAGAATTTCAAAAGTTTATTGTGAAAAATATGTGTATGCATAAAATCATCCTCAGGATAAGATTGGAGGAATGTACTTAAATTATTTTTAGAAGCATTTGATATACCTGTTTGCTAGAGATGCATGTTTCTAAGAAACAAGCAAATGGAATGTTTATTCCTGATTCTTTTCTATGGGAGTGGACAATGAAAATTACTACTTTCAATGCTAGCTTGTATTTTTGTAGTAACAAACAGTATTTTTAAATAATTAAGAAATATAAAGCTTGAGATAATTAAATACAACATTTTCATTTATGCCCCAGCATAATATAACACCGCATGCCTAAAAGATGTAAAAGCAAACGTTATGACATTAACTTCAATAGAGAAATCATCCTTAATTTTCTGTCCTCTTCGACTTCAGTGTTCAAAATAATTTGAGTACTTCTTTTGATTCTAATTAATATTTTCCAATTTCTCTAAGATTGTGGTCAAACTTTATCGTACTATCGAATGACTCAGGATGCCTGTTAAAATAAAAGTTTTAGGGATATCTTCCTGTATGCTCACGCCAAAGATACTGATTCAGTAGGGCATTTTTTAGTAACCAAAGATTTTAATTTTTAACAAGCATCGCAGGTGATTTCAATGTAGATGTTCTCTAGAACATTAATGCTCTTCCTCTCATCTTCATAGATGAAAAATATCTTCCATTCTTTTCTGTAGTTGACAGAATTTTTGAATGATTATCACACTTCTTTTGTATCACTCTCCACTTACTACTTACTGTGGAATTAGGAAATACTACTCTGATTGATTTCTTTTATTTCCATAATGACTAGGGATTTGAATTATTAGCTCACAGCATGAAAACAGAATCTACGTTTTCTCATTTTCACTGTTTGCTTTATAGAACAGTAAGAAATAACAGAGCTCGCCCTTAGTTTATTCCTCTTTTCGGTAAAGGTAAGTTCACAGGCAACCTCCCTTGGTGGGAGGTCTCAGTCATGTTCTTCACTTCAGCTGTTACTATAGATCCCTGCATTTGGGTGGTTATTGGGTGAGTGCCTCTTCATTAATAAAGGTAAAATTCTGGTCTTCATTAGCATAGCTAATGACGCATAGCTAATGATGCTTATATGCATTTCTAGCCATTAAAATCCAAAAGGAAATAAAAATGAGTTTTAGATTCTCTAATGTCTAATACTTCAATTATTAGATTAGATCAGGTTGCATTCATATTTGGCTTTTGAAACACCAAGAATGTAGTCATAAAAAGACTAGATTCCCATTCTACATTATATGAGAAACAAAAATAAATAAATAAAAATATTTAATTAGAGACTTTAAGATATTTCAATGTAAGACATTTTTTTAAATCTTAGATTATTTAAAGTATTTCAATATACTTGTAAATACATTTTATGTCTACCTTCACATATAGGAATATCATTGGTCCATCCATCTGTGTCACATTCACGATAATTAATCTCACCTAGCAATTGATACCTGAAAACCCAAAAATAACAGTGTTGAGATAATGTGTGTTTATATGCAGTTTTAAATTCAATGCCATTCTGAGTGTTAAGAAACTCCATAATAAGGAAAATGAACAGCATATACATTTTCTTGTTTCTTGTCTTCCCTTCCTCCTTCTCTTCTTCCTTCACTTTCTTAGATTTCTTAAGTTTCTCTCTTTCTTAATCTCTATCTCCCTTTATCTTTCTCTCCTTGGTGCATGGACTGAAAATAATCATAACCTTTGGTTCATGACAAACTCATTACTGTTTCATACAAAGTGTTCTTATTTTTCATTGAATTATCTAATTAGTTAAATTCAATAATATAGTAAGCTCCATGAACTATCACAAAAACAAAAGCTAAAAATATCATAGTAACCAACAGCTATGTTTCCCTCTCCTCCAGTCTTAGACCATATTTCTGTCCTCCATGATTCTGATATTTTCTAAACACCTTAGGCTTTCTACATAATTTAAGATAGTGCCAGCACAAAGTTGTTAGTGTGTGATTTACTTTCAGCACTTGCCTCCACCTCCGCATCTCTATCCTAGAGATTTTTTCCAGAGAATACCCAGTGAATCAAATCTGCTTATCTAATCCATCCAATGTTGAACTTCAGTAATTTTAATAACCCATGAAGCCTGCCTTTTGAATCTAAAAATGCTCTATATGAATATGAGCTCCCTGGGGCATGTGCAAAATGTGCAATCATTGCTAGAGGCTTCAGGTTTATACATTTTTATCTCCTTAGCCAAATCAAGTGCTGAACTTAAAGACAGGATACAAGTCTGTGATAAAAACAATATTTCAGAGGTGAGAAAGGTAGCAAATTAAAAAATTCAGCTCCAGGAAATTATAACCTATTTGGTTATGTGTGATAAGATAAGCAGTAATGATTGCAGGGCTAAAAATGTATTTGAAAAACCTCCCTGAGGTAGTGACTAAGGAGAGAATAAATTCATAAGAAATAATATTTATTTGGCATCTACAATATCTCAAGGTCTCTTCTAAGGGATGCAGATGTGTGTCTTATTTATTTTCCCTACCAATCCATGAAGCACATGAAATGTATCTGTTTTGTAGGAAAGGAAATGGTAGCGAAGAGATATTTTTTTAAATACCCATAAATGTTAAGTGGAAGAGTTTCAAAAGGCAGGCTTACTCCAGTGATTGAGTTTTAAGCTATTGTATTTTATTGCTTCGAATTAAGGAAAAAAAATGAGGAAAGAATGATGTTATTCCATTTGTAATATTTGGTTACATTTATATTTATGAAGTATAAGATTATAGTGATCTAATCCTAGTTTTCCCATATATAGATTTTTCTTCAAAATAATTTTTGATCTAGCAGAGAATAAGGGGGATAAAAGGACACTGAGACACTGAGGATACACAGTGATGATTTTGGCAATGAAAACCCAGCAGTTGGTTAGAAGGAACAGAGTCAATGATTCTGAAAGAGTAGTATTTTTAGTCCATGTGGTAAGAATAATTTGCAGACCTGGGACATTAAGTAACATTAGTTGTAAGTAAAACTTATAAGCAGGTAAAAGTCTTGCTTTCCTTAAATTTTATAAAATCTGTCAAAACAGTTATCATACAATATAAATTGGTTTCAATTCCTATTGTTCCTGTCACATTGAACTCCCATGATACTCTGCACAAAATAGAATGTCATGAAGACTTGTTGGGTGAATACTTATATATGTGCATACTGTTTTCCCACTCTCCTATAATTATACTCTACCAGAGAAGTTATACTTCATTTAAATTTTTCAGTGTTAAGGAGAAAATATGTTATCCAGATTTAATTATTTTCATCATAGTTAAATTTTCAGGTACTTGCATGTTACATTTTAAAATGTCCATAGAAAAATATAATAACCTTAAAATATATAAACTAGTACAGTTCCTATTTACTACCTTAATTATAAACCTCTTTTTGTATGGACTACATACCCCTCATTACATGTATACACAGCTTTTACACCATATTCAAACACATTTCCTCCTATGAGGCTAAAATAACCAAAGGGAGTATCTCCAGGATGTCCACAGGGCCTTTCTAAAATGAAAACAAAAAAAGTTATAAATTAGTATGTAATAACAAGGAATATATTTTATGTAGGAGTGGGGGTACAAGTATATTTGATATTATATAAGAAGACAGATTGAATACAAGGAAAATTAAATATAGTAGAGCTATTATTTCATAATTGAACTTAAACTATATGCTTGCTTTTTTAATTTTGGAGGAAGACCACCCCTTTTTGAAAATGATGATGTATTGGCTGGGCACAGTGGCTCACACCTGTAATCCCAGCACCTTGGGAGGTCAAGGTGAGTGGATCACGAAGCCAGGAGTTCGAGATCAGCCTGTCCAGCATAGTGAAACCCCATCTCTACTAAAAATACAAAAATTAGCCAGGTGTGGTGGCACGTGCCAATAGTCCTAGCTACTCGGAATGTTGAGGCAGGAGAATTGCTTGAACCAGGGAGGCAGAGGTTGCAGTGAGCCGAGATAGCGCCACTGCACTCTAGCCTGGCAATAGAGGGAGACTCCATCTCAAAATTGCACCACTGCACTCCAGCCTAAGTGACAGAGCCAGACTCCATCTCAAAAAAAAAAAAAAAAAAAA